GAAATTTATGGACCACCTATATGGCACGGCAATTATGTATACCTTACACAATTTTTCTCAAGCTTATCTTCTTCTTCATTTTTTTTGGATTTGTCGGATAGAATTACATTGAGATAGAACATACATTTCAAAAAACACGATTAATAATTTTTATGAATAGTTAATTACTATTCAAAAATTTTGGATTTCCTAAGTATTGGAAACTCGAAAAGTAGTTTGAAACCTAGTGTTTATAGTAAAAAAAAAAAAAAAAATTAAGTTTTTAACCACGCTATGGGGAGTACGACAATTTTATCTTCTTGTGGTCCTTTGCCGACTAGGGTCGCCATGTGGACTTCACCTAAAACACACTTTGGCTAGTGATTGTGAATTTTCAAGAAATCAAAGAATTATATATCAACTAGTATTATCAACTACTAACGTAGATTGTCAAAAAATTTAGACGATTACCCTGCCTAATGATAGTTGAAAAAAAAAAACATTAACCATCATCATCGACCAATGTTTTTTTAAAAAAAAAAATCTTCTAACATAAATGTTTCATCAAAACCTTTCGCTACAAATCTAGAAGTGTCCTTCTGATAGAAACCCTCAATAACTCTTTAAGTTTTTGTCGGAAGCAAAAACCCTTAGCTTGCTGATTGTAAACTGTTTTCACTGAGTGTATATATATATATATATATATATATATATATATATATATATATATATATATATATATATTATAGCTAGTCATGATCACCAGTGTGAAGGCCGGAAGATCAGACAAGCTAGATGGATTGCTGGGAGTTGAGAAGAGATGTGAATGCATATATATATATATATACAAAATGATGATACATATGTATATATAATATGAATATATAAGAATAATAATGATAATAATATTGGGTTTAAGGCGCTTTCAATCCCCACATGGTCCATCTATCTATCATAAGAATTGATCGGCAGGGCAGGGCAGGGCAGCATGCCGCAGATGTAGCAGAAGCATGGGTTCATTGGCTTCCAATAATCCTAGGTGGTCCTCTCTACCTATATATCATACCTACACTGTCCGCCTCAACCAACCGCCCCATTTTTTTTCCTATACACGCATCCTCTCCCCTCCGCTCATTTTTTTTTTTTTTTTTTTTGGTTTGTAAAATTATTATTACACCAACGTATAACACTTTAATTAATTTCTCAACTCTTCATTATTATATTCTTTATAATACATATTGGAACATACAAGGTGTTGATATACATACTCGTGTATGTATTTATTGGGTTTTTTAAATCACATGTCGCTCGAAAAATTACGTTTAACTCGTGTATGTATTTATTGGGTTTTTTAAATCACACGTCGCTCGAAAAGTTAAGTTTAACAAGAGATCAAGTGTTGTTACAGAGTCTGAAATAGAGTGTCATTTTTGTCATATAAAGTGTGAGCAATCTAGCTATTTATTTAGTATTATAAGGCAAATCATCAACTATATTATTTTGTTTAAAAAAACAAAAAACAAAGGGGAGTTGAGAGGGCTATATATATATATATATATATATATATATATATATATATATATATATATATATATATATATATATATATATATATATGTATATATATATATATGTATGTGTGTGTGTGTGTGTGTGTGTGTGTGTGCAGGGCAAATTATATCGCGCACTAAGGCGCACAATACATTGTATGCCCTGCCCTAAAATGACGTCGTTTTTATAAGTTGGTGAGGAGTTGATGCGACGAACACCGTTCCGTCTGTCGTCCAACCGTTACAGTTTTATTTTTGTGTTTATGTGTATTATGTTAAGAGTTTATGTGTATTATGTATTATGTTAGATTATGTGTATTATGTTAAGAGTTTGTGTATTCTACTATATAATTCTGTACATACGAAACAGGAAATTTTTAAGGGTGCACGGTATAACAATTGTGTGTAGTGTGTCAAATTGTTAGCCAGTGCTCGTCTATGTATGTTATTTCTTGTCATAATAAAATGTTTATCACTACACCAAAAGTTAACTATAGCTACTTAATTAATAACGGATGCACAATTCTATTTTCTTATAATTGCGTAGTAGCCAGTGTCACATTTCGACTCCACATTAAACTGCAAGATGCTGGAGTTGACCTTTCCCGACTCCATTGAACACTTATGTCATGGTATGTAGTTCGGTTAGCAAATGTTGACTTAACCATTTAAAAACAATTTTTAAAGTTAATTGACTTAATATTTATGAATAAACCTCATAAATTTAAAAATGCATGAAAATTTAACAAAGATAAGAATCATAACAAGCACAATATGTTAAAGAAAATATAATGATAAATGAACAGACGTGTTCTTTTTTGACCTTTAAAAATAAATATGCAATGATAGGTAAAGTGTGTGTGTGTGTGTGTGTATATATATATATATATATATATATATATATATATATATATATATATATATATATATATATATATATGAAGTGTGAGAAATAAATAGAGTATATGTATATACTCCGTATTATACAATAAAGTTGGTCCAAACTACTCCCTTCATTAGCGTTTCCAGCTACCATTTCATCTGCGTGCATTATTCTCATTTTATTATATTACAATCTAACTAAACAATAAAGGGCGTGGTCCCACATCTCTATGATCATCATATATCACTTTTCACATTTTTCATTAGTTAAATATTTTATTTATTTGATAAATACAAATCGATTACACGTAACTTTTACATAAATGGTACTAAATATATATGAAAACGCTACACGTTTTGGTTGGAGAAACTCAAACTCGACTCATAGATTTTTTTTTTTTTTTGTCATCAAGCACAAAGTCAGTAGTTGGAATTTATTATAGAGTTCATATTTAATCTATCAATTATTTTTGAGTAATAAATCTATAGTTCATCTTATGATGTATCTCTCAATTTTTACAAATTTGACCTTTTAAGTGTTAAATGAGTTGTAAATTCAATCTCTCAATTAGCTTCAAAAATCAAACTATGTTTGTATTTAGGGTTTTATGGGAAATATATATATATATATATATATATATATATATATATATATATATATATATATATATATATATATATATATATATATATATAATTACAAATATATGTTATAATAGATCAAACGCTTACCACTATGCTACCAATTGTTAGGATCAATTAAACACTTTTAACTACATAAAAAAATTATAACAAGTAGTTAATTAAGGTATAACTTTATCTGATCTCCTTATACTTGCATAACAGCCAACGATACGTTACGATTGCAGGATGTTGGACTTGACCCTCCAAGTAAATATCCAACAATATACCCTCATTATGAAACCTTAGACAAATGAAACTTGATGACCTAGTTAGTCTAAAAAACTGAATTTAAACAATTGAAGAATCAAAAGCATTATTTTTCTATAGTTTAATGGGGTTTTCATAATATGGGTGGAGATAATTATGCATTTAATGTGTATGCAATTAGCCTTGAATTTAGCTCACAACTTGATTCCCTTTAATGGTTAAGTAGTAGGGTGTGGTGTTTACTACTTAAATTAAGTAACATCTTGCTAAAACACTACCACGCGTTAACCTAAATAAAATAATGATCATAATTAATAAGGTGAGGCCGGAGAATTAATTGAAGTTATAGGAATAGCTAGGATAATGTCATTATATTTATATTATTATTAATTTATTATTATAGGCGAGTCTCAGGAGGGGCACGGCGTGGATCCCCTCTATTCCAATCAATTTGTAGCCAATAACATTCCACATTTCCACTTAACCAATAAATTAATCACTGTCCGTACGAATTGTATTGTCAACCAAACCAAAAAGATAAGACTCACATACTTAAGTTTAAACTCCAACAACAACAATAATAGCATCTAGCAGTAGTTTTAATACCACTACTCCTATTTTTGCTTAATTATATATGTATTTAAAGAAGAAAGAACAAAAAAAACACACACTACTGCACATGTGGAGAAGCGGAGCAACCTCTGACCATGTTGGTTTGGTAATTACAAATTTTTAAGTTCAGCTCTCCGTACGAATTATGTATTGGTGGTTTATGATCTACGACGGATCTCTTCTAGAGTGCATTTTTGAGTAAAACAATTGAGAAGTAAAATTGTGATTGTTAAACAATAATAATGGAGGGGAAGCACAAATTGAAATTTAATAAGCATGAAATGGATGAATAAATAATGGAAGTACGTAACAATAATAACCATAATAATTGATGGAGATTTTAATTAGGGGGGATGGGGGGGGGGGGGGGGTACGTTGATAATAGTCCAAGCCAATCCCGCAAACAAAATCCCAACCCAGTTGCGTAAAAACGAATAGAAATAGAAGCTCGTGCTTTACAAAACAGCTGGCCTAGTTTGGACCATATCGCAAAATATAAAAAATAAATAAAAAATACCACTCTCCTACTAACCATATTAATTAAATTATATATATATAATATAAGTTTACACTATACTTCCTACTTCTTCTTCTACTACCACCACAACCCACCCACCCATTTTGCTCATGACAATTCACTTGGCCCCACCAGATAATTCGTGGGCCCCCTCTCAGGTACCACTCCCTCCCTCATGCCTCTCATGCTCAATATCATATCATATTTGGCCCCATTTTGTAGTTTATTGTATATATATATATATATATATATATATATATATATATATATATGTATTTTGTATCCCGTATTCATCAACTATGAATTGGAGGAGAATAAATTCAATGAAAATTGCCTAACTTGACAAGGTTCTAAGGAGGTACCCCGCGAAAGGTCAACAACCATAGATGAAGGAAGAGAAGCGGAAAAGATTGAGACCTGACCTGTATACAGGTGTAAATACGTTAAATTAAATGTACCTAATATAATCAATTGTATAGTATAGTGGTACGTGTATATACGCGAAACGCACCTTATAAGGTTTGTAGTACGTAGATGATGTTATGTTGTGGGAAAGGCTTTTTTGATAATTAGCTTAGCTTAGCTACTTTAGCTTTAACTAGCTTAGCTTCCATCCTCAGCTGGCTCATTCATCTCTTTCCCTCTTCTTTCATAGCTTAGGCTTGGACCCAAGAAATCATGAAAAGAGATCGCAATTGAAAAGTAGAGAGAAAAATTCCCCCCCGCCCATCCACTATCTCTCTTTCTTTATCTTTAACCCTAGAAAGCACCCCGGCCAGCCTGGGAATTAACCCATTTTTGTAGATCTGTGTGTTTTTCAGAGAAGCTAAGCATGCTGGATTGATCGGGGAGGAAAGGTTTTCTGGTTGTTCTTCTGGAAGAGATATGCGCCCATTTTCTGTTGCTTCATCTTCTCTCTCTTATGGCCGACAGCAGCAAAGGGTTTGGTTAGATGGCGGCGGGGAGGGAGAAGGCGGAGGGGGAGAGGCGGCGGGCGTGATGATGATGATGATGGAGGGGGGCGGCGGCGGCGGCGGGGAGGTTAATGGAGGGGAAGGCGGCGGCGGTGGCGGGGGAGATGAGGCGGCGAGTAGTAGTGGGGTTTTGATGGAGAAGGAGCATATGTTTGATAAGGTGGTTACGCCGAGCGATGTGGGGAAGCTGAACCGGCTGGTGATTCCGAAGCAGCACGCGGAGAAGTATTTCCCGTTGGACTCGTCGAACAACGAGAAGGGGCTTCTGTTGAACTTCGAGGACCGGAATGGGAAGCCATGGCGGTTCCGGTACTCTTACTGGAACAGCAGCCAAAGCTACGTGATGACTAAAGGGTGGAGCCGGTTCGTGAAGGAGAAGAAGCTGGATGCGGGGGACATCGTTTCGTTCCAGCGTGGCGCCGGCGAGACGGTTAAAGATCGTCTTTTTATTGATTGGAGGCGCCGTCCGGATTCCCACTCCGATCATCACCACCGTCACCATCACCTCGCGCCCATTCCGGCCATCTCGCTCCCGCACCACTTGCCCTTCCAGCGCTCCATCCTACACTACCCTTCCGCGGCGGCGCCGCCATGGAATCATCATCATCATCATCATCAGGCTGTGTTATCGCCGCCGCCGCCCCCATACGGCTACACCTACGGATTCGGGAGCACTCATCACAATTCTGTAATTTTTAACGGCGGCGGCGGGGGAGGCGCCAGCGGTAGTGCGGTGGTGGTAAACGGAAACCCTTGTTCGTCGGGGATTTATCTGCGACCAATGAGCGCCGCCCACCAGCAAGAAATTATGCAAAGAAGAGGCGGAGGAGCAATGGTGTTCGAGTCGGTGCCGGTGGTCCAAGGCAAAGCTGCTGCAAAGCGACTGAGGCTATTTGGCGTGAACATGGACTGTCCCATTTCCGACTCGGATGACTGCGACATTTTGTCTTCCTCCTCCTCCGCCGCCACCGCCACCGCCTCCAACTCCGCCGCTTCTCCGACAACAATCCCAACTTCCCTTCAATTAAGGCCCTGCGGCTACGACACCACCCAAGAATTATTGGAATTAGCAGCTTCTGATAAGCCCAACAAGTCCTCCTCCTCCTCCATGTCCCTCGATTTCGATATCTGATCAGATCATCCATTCCCAGAATTGCAGAAAGAAAGAAACAAACAAACAAAGCAAGCTCTCCTCAACTCAACATTTCTACTAGCATTATTATTCAACATAAACTTCTTCGTGTATAAAATCGTCGTTATAATACTACTACTCACCATCTAAGAGAGAGAGATCGTGAGATAGATCAATACACTTCAATTTCCCATTTCTTCTTCATCCTTAATTAGCATCTCTTTAAATGCTTTAATTTAATCTATCTCTCCTGTATTAATGCCTGCAGATCAGATCAACTCATCCATCTTTCTATTCATCCAATTCACCTTTTCAATTAATACAACAAATTTGCTTTTACAAATATACTTCATTAACCAATGAATCTCACTGCATTTTCCTGCAGTACGTAGAATCTGTGGATAGATATATAGATGAAGCCACTGGAGAAACCCCCGGACCCCTTTCCTTCTTTTTCTACTATCATTACTTTTGTATGTATTTACTTCCCCTCTGATAGGTTGTTGCTCTTGTCGCTGCTACGCTGCCTCCCCCGCAGGTATATATCAGTCTTACGATGCTGGAATTGTCTCAGAGGTTTTAAAAAGGTAAACTTTTTATATATAATTTTTATAATCAATACTATTTCTTTATATATGCTTTAATCTTCTTTTGTATGTATATATGCATTTCATCTTTTGTTGTTACTTTTGTATCTTCTTCCTGTCAGCAGCCACTTTTCTCTTGATAATAACTTATTCAATAGCAATTTTTGAGGGGGGGGAAATAAACAAAAGAAAAAAAAAATTATATATATATATATATATGCTGCACTTGGCAGTTTCTTCATCAGTTTATGTCACCAAAAGGGGCCTGCTGAATTGCAGAAAAATATGAAAATATATTCAAGAACAAGAAGATATAATGCATATATGGCAGATGAATTACCAGATTCTGAGTTCTCATACCCATCCATATATTACTCCCTTTTTCTTCATTTTTTTTTTTTTTTTATATAAATCTCATAATTTGGATCGATCAATGAGACTGCAGAACAAACGTGCATGGTTCATAATTTTATAGTCCTAGCTTATAAGTGTTTTCTTTCCCTTCTTTAAATGCATGTGCAAAGCTGCTGTAAGGAAGGGTCTATTTGCCAGTATTATTTTGTTCATTTTGATGAAGTGATAATCATCATCATTTGTTTGTTTGTTTGTTCTTTGTTTTTTTCATAAAAGAAAAAATGTGTGCAGAAAAGGCAACTTTGTTACAGACATTGTTGTTTGATTTCCAGTTTGGTTGGATGGCTAAGTGCAACATTTTTCTTCTGATTTTATAGTATTGAATTTCTTGATTAATTTTCTGGTGATACTTTTATGTTTATTTGATGATCTGATCACCTTGTTTCCACTGACTACACAACATGTATACCTATAACCTGTCAATATGTTTGTATTCTTAAAAAAAATCTTTTTGGTTTCAACAAACAAGAGAGTTCAAGTGCTATATTTATTTTAAAATTATATCGATTTTGAATTCAAATTTTCTTCTTCTCAAATGTATCGAAAAGGGTATTATCATATGATGAATACTTTATTAATATCGAACATCCAATTACTATTCTTCTTGTGATTTTATCTTGTTGAAGTGTTTTGGTCCACATTTCAATCCTTATGAGATTGTGTAGGTATAATTACGTATCTTAAGCTCATTGTTTTCAGCTTTCACATGCAGCAATTATATCCTCCAATCCATCATACAATTGTCTCTTTCCTTCAACCTACACAAGCACATTCAAAAAGAATCAGATTATATATGTATATTATTAAAAGTTTGTTTCTTGTTTGATTTCATGGCTATGAAAATGTTGCATTGCACATCTTGAAGGTGATATGATGTACAATCAAGGGAATTGTTTATTGTGGGAAATCAAGAAATTTGGTGTTTAATATGCGAAATATGATGTATCATTTATGATGAGCTCATGAATAGAACTTTTATTGTGTTTATAAGTATTTATTTTTTTAGTTAGTGTTTATAAGAGCGATTGAAATTATAATTGTGTGTATGTATGTACAAGTGCATATTACTTTCGATGTTGAGATGTGATCATTTGGCTTTAGTACTCTTAAAAGTATTATATTAAACTGATACAGAATAATGTTGTGTGAGGGTGTGTATGTGTTTATTGTGACTTTGTGGTTGTATGCACAGTTGCACACACATGTCATACATGTGACCTTCAAATTAGGTTTTCATCCAATTTTGCGAGTTAATTAAGGTAATTTGTATACTAAAAGTACAAGCACACTCGATCATTCTGTGTTTTTCGTTTTCAGTTTTTCATTTCTTTAGAAAAATTAAAGAATTTCTCTGATTAGTAGATGTACATAGTCTGTATTTCATAAAATATTTAGATTTTTTCAACTTGAGATATATTTCGAATAGATTTTAACACATGTAATGGAAATGGTGACAGGAAAACAAATCTAAGTAGCTAGCATAGCTGCAAGAAATTCAAGTAATCAGCTACCAAGACTCCTCACTCTGATCAATACATGCTTACATATATTCTACTGTATATTATGCACGTTGCACCTTGATCCAATGGTCGATGGCTGGCCAGTCTGTGCTACCTTTGATAACTCAAATTATTGTAAACGTTTGGTCTCTCCAAACTGAAGGACATATACATTAATTGTAATTGTTTAACGTTAGTTGTATTTGCTTCATTCTATGGATGGTGCCGGTTTTGATCCCCCGGAAAAAGACACTGCCCAAATTGGGAGACATGATCACCCTTATCCCAAATTCAGCTAGAACTGAATCAACCACAATATATAGAATACTACAAACACCACAAGTTATATGTATCCGTTACGGGATTAGCTAGATTTTTCTTAAATTATATATGATACAGATTCTTAATATAGATGTGATTGATACGCTACGAGATTCTATGTCGAGAGGTGAGACCAATAACTGCAACCTAACATAATTGCACTTCCAGCAAAGTCTTATTCTTACTGAGCTTGAAAAAGACTTGACTCATCTTTTAATCATAACCGTACCCACACATATAAGGGTACTATATATGATTCTTTAATATTAGTTGCATTAATAGTTCGTTTTACCTTATGACTCTAGCTAGCAAAGATCGTTTACCAACTATCTCAAGGTGGTGGCCACTGGGTAAATCCTGGTTTGTAACCCTAGCCCACAAAAGATCACAATGACGTAAACCAGTCTAGGTTGTCTATAATTAATTGGTTCAAATTAAGAAGATTAATATATTATTTTCACTACCTTGTAATTACCAAGTCAACCGTCTGATCAGTTTGTATGTATTATTGACCCTAAAAATATAATGATGAGTTTTAGGGGTTGAGGATTGCGCAAAAGTTGGTTCCTGCACCTTTGCCATTGTTTTCCTTTTAGCTTTTCACTTGGGAGTGAAACTACTGCGTGGTTGCAGTTAAAATTATGAAGTAGCCTAGTGTCATGAATGATTCAGTGTCAGACTAAGGGATGGATATATTCATTCTCATATAACTATGTATGTATATATGTCTCTCTAGTGTCTACAATGTATGTATAACTGTGCAGTGCAGTGCCCCCCGGCCCCTTTCTTTCTCTCTCTATCTCTAGCTTCCTATAAATACAATATACACACATATATGAGCAGCATGGTGGGCTGAAGTACCATAGGGTCATAATAGTAATAGCATGATGACTAAGACTCTAGACGGGGACCAAGCCTGAGTCTATACACTCGTCTTTTACATATATTTACATGCATATAGCTAGCATCTAGGCTCCAGCCACAGTAACTCTAGGTTGCTTTCTAGCTCGCTTAGCCAAGCCAGCCAGCCAGCTAGCTACTTACATTTATTATATATATATATTGATCTGATGAGTTACAGTATATATGTATGTATAGGTGTAGGATGGGGGGTGGGGTGGCTGCTGTGTTCGCTGGGTTTAGGGCAGACAAATGTAACGAAACCTTGGGTGCGATCTGCAGAGTTTTCACGTAGTTAGGAAACTGTCAGGGCAGCTTGGTTCCCTTTCTTTTTCCTACTTCTGATTCATAGTACAATCCCCTCCCCTCTGCTTAATTATTGCTCCCCTTTCATAACAACTACTACTTTTTTTTTTTTTTCCTTTTCTTTTAAATACTACCTACTAGTTAACCCTATTGTATGTGTACGTCTAAATATAACCCAACTGATTAATCGATTCAAAATAAAGTTAATAGTGCTACTTCATTGAACAATCGCAAGGGAGACACTTTTTTCGAATTAGGATTCAGTCTATTGTTTTAATTAAAATATAAATAGTGACGGTAATAGTAAAGGCTACAGGAATCTAGACATAACCGCGCTCGGTCACAATATTAGCAAAAGGGGTCGAGTCTAAGTCCATGGACGGTCTCTCAATAATTTTTAAGTTTGAATGGTCAAAATTGACTATAATGTGTTTTCGTCTGGTTCATACATAAATTGGCTTCTAGACAGAATAATTGATGTTGAGTGAGATATATAGAGTTTGTTCTCTTGAGTTTGAGTTTTGTGAGTCCAACGTTTATAAGGTTGAACTTGTCAGACAGCGGCTTGGAGAGTTAAATCCAGTATCTTTCCATTGAAACGTGACGTTGATTGCTATGCAAGTATAAGGAAATAAAATTGTGCATTCCTTACTAACTGTAATAAGTGATTGATCCTTACAAAACCAATTAAGTAGATGCATGATAATTTAATAATTAATTTGTTCATAACTTTGTACTTTAAACCTCAAATTATTCCCAAACAACTTACCTTTTTAACGTATTAAAATAACTTAAAGTGTCAAATTTAATTATTCAAACTTTTTTCTCCAAATCGTTTTAACCCATCAAAAAATTACTTAAACGGGATAATCCTCACTCCACAATCTCACATTATTCTTAGGTTATGAAATGGGACAAATCCCTTTGGACATACACAAGAATCAAACAAAGGAAAGTGTTGAACCAACTCACATGATGTCAAACTCAAACTACCAATACAAATCAAGGATCCAATAATATAAATTATTATTATTAATTAACACGGGACTCGTGCAGTTAGTTGTAGTTGTTTAATTTGTTGACACCATTTAACCTAATAATAATTAATGTACCAACAACACACTAATTAATCACATAATAATGCAAGCAAGACCTCAAAGTCACATGCTGAAAGACATGAGTTG